CTAAAGTTTTCCTGCTGGACACAGGATGTCTCCTAAAGTCCATCCTCAGTGTGCCCCCTGTGCTCTGTTGGATCACACTGTAGAAGTTGCATACTGGACCAGGATCAAAACTATTAACTATTACAATTTTTGTGAGCTCAGAGAAACTTTCAGTGGATTAATGTGAAAACATCCTTCTAGTGCCAAACTCTGCACAGACTCTTTCAAACATCACACTGCAGGAACAAGAACAAACCCAGAGTTCTGACTGGAGGGGGTGTCTTTAAAGATTTACATCTTCAGTAAGACCAATGAGCTTGGAGCTGAGAGCTGCAGACAGGAAGTCAGACAGAATAAGAGCATTAATCTTTCAGTGGTTTGTTATTAATGGCAATAATCAGAAAGATATGGCTAGAGGAGGAGGATGAAGACTTCCTTACAGCTGCTCAGTTTAGTGTAGTGCTGTGGATTGTTACGTAAAGCTCAGGGAGCAGCTGGCTGATGTTATGATGATATCAGCAGGCAGGGAGGGAAAACATCAATCTGATAACACTCTGTTAAAGTATTGCATAAGATTTTGGTTCTTTCAAGTAAAATCAAATAAAAAGTTGCAAAAATCTCCAAAATCCAAACAGTTTTCTGCACGAACAAACCATGAAGATATGAACTGAAACACAAACTGACCCATATTCTGGATTGGAAACACATGAGGAATGTGTGAGTGGAAACGAGAGTGCACTGTACGAGCACATGTGGTAATATTTTGTGTGGCGGCGGCTGACCAGAGAGCAAGGTCCATTTGAAAACATGCTTTGACACATATTGTTTTCTCATTACGCTCTGAAGCTGAGCGGCTGAGGAAGCAGTGGGAGGAGGAGGAAGAGGAGAGACTGAAGCAGATGTCAGTGCCGGTGGAACCAAAAAGTAAGAGAATCTAAACTCTGTTCGCTTGAGTCTCACTTTTTAAATTCTGATGTTGACAGATTAAAGGTCCAGTGTCACATTTCACAGCATCTATTGTCAGAAATATAATATTAATAGGTATGTTTTCATTAGTGTTTAATCACCTTAATATAAGAATCATTGTGTTTTTGTAACGTTAGAATGAGCTGTTTTTATCTACAGAGGGAGCAGGAGCTCTTCTGGCGGAGTCCGCCATGTTGAACCTCC